GGTGTCGTATCTGCCTTTGCAAATTGCTCGGCAACAAAAGAATAATCCTGCCTCCAACAGAGCGCAAAATTATCTGTGAAAGGAAAATAGATTTCCTCTCTGTGGAGGAACCTGTGACCTGCATCTTCCGAACACAGACAGTTGAGTTGTCAACAAGTGCCGCTCCTGCTGTTGTTGTGCGGTTTTTTAAAAAGAAAACATTTTCCTTGCTTCATCAGCTTCAAAGAAAGCCTTTCGCTCTGTCGTTTCCAAGATTATAGCAAATTGCTACTGAATGGAGAAAAGGGTCTACAAGATGAGCTTGTCCTTTGATGGGATTGTGCCTTGCATGATGCTGCTGCCAGCCTAACCCAAAACCCAAAGCCTTCGTCAAGCTGGCTAAAGTGACTGCGAAACAAAAGAGCAGAAAGGACAGGAGCATTTTGTTGATAACATGGAGAAGCTTGCAGAAAAGCTGCAAATTAAACATTCATCCTGGTTTGGTTTGCAGGGAGAGTGGACAACAGTGGCTATTTAATGGGCATTCACTCTGATGTGGGGGTGTTAGGTGGTGCTGCACCACACTTTCCAGTGCTTTCCCCACCTCTGCTTTTGTTTTGCATATCTCAGAACCGCTGGGCAGACTCCCAGCATCAGGGCCTGCCCTACCATTAGGCAGAGTGAGGTGGCTGTTTGAGGCAGCAGGTGCTAGGTGTTGATTGTAAGGCTGAGAAGGGTTCCCCATTCTAAGTATTGCAGTTGGTTCACAAACCCATAAAGATAATCAGTTGATTGACACAACCCAAGACAAAGTGGGTTGGTGAGGCTTATTACAGGGTTGCAGCTGATCACCTCCCTGTGGTGATATTTTGCTCCATTCCTGGCTTTGCACAGCTGATGATTCAACAGGCCTACTAATCAGGATTTGCCAGCCTCCTGTTGAGCGACCCAATTTAGCCAGAGGCAAAGGAGGCCAGGGGAGGTGCCACAAAGCAGACGCACCCCCTGCAGCAGGGAGCCCACCTCATTAGAGACCGCTTAACCCGTGCGCCAGGCCTGCAGGCTGGCAAATTAGGCAGCCACAACGCAGAGAGACGGAGGCTCAAAGCCCCAATGAATCATTCAGCAGTTGCCTGTGGCACACTTGAAAGGGAACATTGCTTGTTCCAGGAGATCAGAGGCCTGGCTTGTAGGAGAAGAGGTCCCTGAGGGGGAGCTGCCCGCCCCGTCTGGAGCACAGTGCCAAGCATCACTTGCTTTGTGAGATGGGAACTGACAGAAACTTATGTCTAGAACCAGCCTGAAAAGGAATGTGTCCATGCCAGTTTTTGAAAATCCCCCTCATCCAAGCAGAGCTCTTTTCCAAGCGGAGCTCTTTTTGCTGCCCCACACTTTCTCCTCCCTAAATCTGGAGATTCCCTGCACTTTGAAAATTCGAATAGGAGAGCTACATTGATTACATTGGGAATTTGAGATTTAGGGAGGAGAAAGTATGGGACAGAAATCACTGGAGAAAAGCGTGCACGGAAGAGGGGGAGCTAAAGGAGGTGCAGGAAATTCACAATCCACATTAAGCAGAGGTGGGGATGGGCCAAAACATTTATGCCCCCCCATTTGATTTTGGAATTTTCCCACCCACCCCACTTCGCATTTCTTACTCATAAAAATAGCGGAGACAAGACAGAATATGCATCTTAAGTATTTGCAGATCCTGCCAAAGAATTGCAACACACCAACATGCCAATCTCCAGCAGACTTCGCCAACCTGGTACCTTCCAGATGTTCTTGCTGTGCTGACTGAGGCTGATGGGAGATGCAGGCTAAAACATCTGGAAGGCACCAGGTTGGTAAAAGCTCATCCACACCAATCAAGCAGTATAGTGACAAGTTTTGAAGTGCAGGACTTCCTCATGACAGCCCCGGTCACCAGGCCTCCAGAGATCCATATACACAAAATTCTATGCTAATTCACTGAGTAAAATCCATTGAACTCAATCATACCTGCTTCTGACTGTGTAGGTTCAACTTGTAAAATGCTTTGAGCTTTATCAAAAGATCTTCTGCCAGCTGAAATTAATATTTATTATTATTATTATTAATTAAATTTGTATATTGCCCTTCACCCAAAGATCCCAGGGCATTTCACAACAGAAAAATACAAAATAAGAATATAAAATACATTTTGCTTTCAGTTTGAACTTTGCAAAAGAGGTGTGAGAATGAAGAGGAAACTGCATCAATGGAAAGCAGTATATACCCCTGACTGATTAACTTCCTTATTCCTCTGCAATGATCTGTAAATCAAATTTGAAAGCCCCCTAATCTTCGCCATTCACCTGCAGAGCAAGGCAGGTCTTCCGTTACCCTAGCATTTTGGCAAATGGAGCGCTAAGAAGAGACCTAAATTTGGATCAGATCAAAGGCCCATCTAGTCAAAGATCCTTGTCAAAGTGGACGATCAGATGCCTCGAGGGAGCTCACAAGCAGGACATGAGTTCTGTAGCCCTCTCCCCAGCCACTGGCCTTCAGAGGTAGGACACAGCCATCATGGCTGGTGGCCACAGATCACCTTATGTCCCATACGTTTGTCTGAAACCCTGCCCAACAAGCTGCTCCAGAAATATGTATCTCCCTACTCCTTGACTCCTTACAGGCTCTAAGTGACAGAGCATCTGCCTTACATTCAGAAGGTTCAGTCCTGAGCAACTTCAGGTAGGTGTCTTCCGTTGCCTGAAACTTTTGAGAGTCCCTGCTGCTACCAGTTAGACAGTGCTGAGCAAAATAACCAAGGTGCTGACTCAATGTAGGGCAGCTTTCTGTATTTCCTAATGCAACAGTAACTGATAGACATGGGCCTCCATTCTGCAACTACTACTGAGGTCCTACATTTGTGAGGAGTCAGTCATCTCTTAGTGTGCTGTGGTGGTTAAAGAGTTGGACTAGGACCTGGGAGGCCAGGGTTCAAACCTCCACTTGGCCATGAAGTTCACTGGGGGACTTTGGCCCACTCTCTCAGCCTAGCCTACCTCACAGGGTTGTTGTGAGGTTTGAATGAGGACTGGGGGAAACTATGGACACCACTTTGAGCTCCTTGGAGAAAGTGGTGGGGTATAGATGCAACAAATATAAACAAATTAGGGCCATGGTTTCTAAGTCTTGAGTCGTGAGCTACTTTCAAACATCTCATCCCCCACTATGGAATTCAGCCCCATGTGGAAGCACAAGGGGGAATCATGAAGTGAGATGAGCTGGAGAGAGCAGGTGCTCATTGGCTCACCTACAAAAGGGTTTTCTGACTCCTTTGCTTTTGACATCGCTAGGACAAGCAGTATTCCAGCTTTCAGATCTTTGCCAGGAAAATAAACTTACTGGCTGAATTAATTTCTGCTTGGCATGTTAAAGGCACAACAGGGTGTGTGAGAGTGAGAGAAGGGAGCCTTTTTATCATCCTCAGTGACCACAAAGCCAGCCAGGAAAAGCATATGGGTGTGGCGGCCAAGAGAAGAAAGCTAGAGGTCATAAAGAAGACTTCCTTGGACTCCATCTTCCACAACCCTCTTTGACCAAGTTGGCCAACAGGCTAGGATGATGGAGCCACATCTAGGTAGATAAAGGATGGCATGAAAATATCCTGCTTGTGACAAGTGACATGTTTTTTGCACCTCACGAGAAAAGAAGCCAATGCTCAGGGCTTTATCAGCAAAGGAACACAGGGAGCAGCCTTTTACCAACTCAGACCGTTGGTGCATGCAGCCCAGTATTGTCTACACTGACTGGCAGCTGCTTTCCAGGACTTCAGGCAAGCATCTCTCCTAACCGTGCCTGGAGATACTGGTGGCGGTTGAACCTGGGACTTTCTGCATGCAAGGCACTGAGCTACGGTCTTTCACTCTATTCATGGTGCATCCCTGGAGCTGCCACTAGCATGACAGTATGAGATCCCTTGCTGACACTAAGAGAGCCCAGTATTTCACACTGTGTCACTGTGGAACCAAGCCCTAATACTTTGCTCTGAGCTCCAAGGCTGTCTTTGTTGCCATCTTTCCCGTTTACAGTACAGCCCAGTCCTATACATGGCAAAGTCCTCAGCTTGCCTGATTCTGCAGTCACTCCCACCCCATACATTTAAGCATTCTGATATCTCTTTAACTGCTATGGCTTTCCCCCAAGGAATCCTGGGAGCTGTAGTTTGTTAAGGATGCTGGAAACTGTAGCTCAATGAGGGTTCTCATGACAACTCTCAGCACCCTTAACTACAGTTTCCAGCATTCTTTGGGGGAAGGCATGAATGTTAAAGTGGTAGAAGACTGCTTTAAATGTATGGGGTAGATGCAGCCTGCATCAGATTGTGGTGTTCAGCATCTCAGCAGGACATGCTTCAGTTGCAGGGATGTTGATGGACTACAATTCCCATCATCTGTGGCTGTTGGCAGGTACAGATTGGAGGGGTTGGCCTGTCTTGTTACCTGGGCATGATTTGGGGGGCTCCATGTGTGAGAGTAGAAGAAGAAAGTGTGAGAAATCCAGCCAGGGCCACAAGGACCTTCAAGCCCCCCAGTCCCAGCTGTTTGAGGCCTTCCACCCTGAGAACAGAATTCCAGGTGCAAATTGCCTCCTTCATTGCCCCCACCTCCCAGTGCAACCAAAGAAAGCATCCTGATGGTGACTTCTCCTCCTGAGGAGGCTATGTGAGGCTCAGCTCCACAGACTTAAGCACACCTGCTAGCCTTTCAGGAGTCTTATCAACCATGATGATTCCCTGCTATATCTTGCTGCTGCTTCTAAAGCTAGCAGGTACCTGGGCTGCTCAAAAGGGAGTATGCGATGAGGCCTGGACTCCTGTGACTAAAGGACCAGAGCAGCTGGAGTCTAGAAAAGGAAACCTGTTGGCTGTACAAGAGAGAAAAGATGCAAGGAGAGATGGGCATTCCCTGGAAAAACAAATTCCCAACCTGAAGTGGAAGGAAGAAACCCAAACAATTGAGCCAAGGCTGCCTGAGGATCTTGTAGGGGAGCAGCCCCCCAAGAAGGACCCCCGAGTTAAAGAAGGTCTCCCCTGGCAGCAGGGCCCTTGCCCCAACAATGGTGGCCCTCAGCAGTGGTGCGGCAGCTGCATGGTGAAAACCAGCTTGATCTGTGTTTTGGGGCTGCTGGCCCTGGTGGGCAATGGGACCATCATCACAGTCATTGCCTCCTCTGTGTCCGGCTGGAGTCACAGCACTCGCCTGGTGCTGTTGTCCTTGGCTGCGGCCGATACCGCCCTGGCAGTGCTGGTGGTGCCCCTCAACCTCTACCGTAGCTTGGTGGTGGGGCCGATGGCAGAAGAAGGGGAGGCGTCATCCTGCCGGGCGGTGGCCTTCATCAACTGCTGCATTTTTGGGGCTTCCCTCTACTCCTTGGCAAGTGTCTCCCTGGAGCGCTATGTGGCCATTTTCTACCCTCTGCACTATAGGCGCCTGCTGAGCCACAGGAGAGTGGTCCTCCTCATCACCGCTGCCTGGCTCCTGCCGGTCCTTCTGCTGGTGCCGCTGGCTGTGCCGGGCCCGGGAGCCTTGCTCCAAGTTCGCTTCTCGTCCTCAGCCCTGCTGTGTGAACCAGACTACGGCTCAAACACCACCTACTCTCTCTTCATAGCAGGCACCATTTTCTGCCCTGCTGCTGGGACCATCACCTTTGCCAACCTGTGTTTGTGGCGGGCAGCCCGCTCCCAGTGCCGGCGTGGGAAAGGTGGCAGGGCCCTTCCAGCGAAAGAGGCAGGGCCGAAGATGCGCTGTGTGCTGCCGTTGGACGCTGCAGCCCGCATCCTCCTGCCTGTCGTCATCGCCTTCTATGTCTGCTGGGTGCCCTGCATCGTCACCATGCTGTACAATGGTGAGTGTACAGAGAGGGGGTGGTTGCTGTTCTGGGGATCCAAAGCAAACCGAAAGCAAGAGGGGCAGGGGTGGGGGCTGGCTAGCAATTCATATGCGCCTGGATACACTTTGATATAATTACTACCAGCAGGCTCTTGCCAGACGCTGAAACAAAAACAAAACGAAAAAGATGCTGCAGTTTTTAAATTGGGGGTCCAAATCAGTGCAGTATTGAAAGGTTCGGTCTGCTATCTTGAAACAAAATGGTATCTAATTACATCCAAACATAGATGAAAACTTGCTCCTTGAGCTCTGGAACCAGCATGCAAAATTTGGATATGATATCCTAAGAGGTGCTCAGACGCATAGCAATCAGACAAACAAGTTTCCAAAATATATGGTACAAAATAATGGAAATGCAATACATCTCACAACGCAAGGGGAGATTATGACCAGGATCTCAGTAAGCAACACCTGGAGAACAAACTGTTGATGGCCAATTTCAAAGGCTGATCTGCTCTCCCCTTCTCAAGGGTTTTTTAATCTTTAAATTTGACATGGACCGGTCCCAAAAGAGGACTGTCCTCTGACAGCAGTTCAAACAAAGAAACCTCCTCTGCAAAGTAGGGCCATGGGCACTCTTATTGCTGCCTAAGGCTCTCCCCACCTCCAAGTACTATATGCTGTATTGGTTAACTCTGCAGCAATTTGTACTTCATTGATTGAAAAGCCAAAGTGATTCAACAGAGAGAACGCAAGCATAATTGTTCTAAATAGGTTATCTGCAGTTTGAAAAACACTTCAGCAGCTGCAACGTCTGATTTGCTGTTCCCCATCCTGCAAAGAAACACAAAGAACTAAAAGTCTGTCTGGATGCAACAACAGAAAACATGTCCCCAAACCTATGGGAGATTGTTTGTGTTGCAATTAGGACACAGTTGTTGTTGTTGTTGTTGTTGTTGTTTTGTTGTTGTTGTTGTTTAGTCGTTTAGTCGTGTCTGACTCTTCGTGACCCCATGGACCAGAGCACGCCAGACACAGTCGTTACATACACGTATACACCCACACCCCATTCCCTAAATACTACAGTGCATTATTCACAAAGATTTCCCACAACTATGTGGTCTAGAAGCTTGCTTAAAAACAAACAAAAAATGACTTTGACCTCATGTACCAAACATGTTTACTGCAATGTTTACTTGTTTAAAACTTGTTTGGCATGGTATGAAATTTACGGCATGTAATGCCTTGAAAGAAAACATTATGAAAATGATATACAGGTGGTACATGACCCCAGTCAAGCTTGCTAAGATATACCATTTGTCTGATAACAAATGTTGGAAGTGTAAGGAGGCTGAAGGAACATTCTTTCACCTTTGGTGGACCTGCCCAAGAGTGAAGGCCTTCTGGGAAATGATCTACAACGAGTTAAAAAAGGTGTTTAAGTACACCTTCCCTAAAAAACCGGAGGCCTTCCTCTTGGGTATTGTCGGCCAAAAGGTGTTAAAGAAGGACAGAACGTTTTTTATGTATGCTACCACAGCAGCAAGAATTTTGATCGCCAAACATTGGAAGACTCAAGATCTACCCACGCTGGAAGAGTGGCAAACGCAACTGATTGACTATATGGAGTTGGCCGAAATGACTGCCAGAATCCGAGACCTGGGAGAAGAAGCAATGGAGGAGGACTGGAAAAAATTTAAGAACTATTTACAAAAATTTTATAAGTTATATGAACTATAAAATGACGCACAATCTGAAATGCTAGCCCCAGCAACGAGAGTGCAATATTTATGAAATTGGATAATATTATTGAAAGAATCAAAGTTTAAATGTTAAGAATGATAATATGTTTTGTTTTCAGGGTAAATGGACAATAAGGGATTTAAACTTAAATTGCAACTGAAAGTACCAAAGAAACACATGAAACAAGGTTACAATTTGCTGATAAATTTATTATTAAGAATGCATTGTGCGGGAGATGTGGGGAAGTTTGATGGAAAGTTGGAATAAGCTGTTGAAGGGGTATGATTTTTCTTTTTTCTTTTACATTTTTCGTTTATTTTTTCTTCTACTGTTTGCTGTCTGTGTCTGAAAAAATGCAATAAAAAAATTATTATAAAAAAATAAAATAAAACTTGTTTGGCATTAGGTAATTTGATCCTAGAAGGATGGATGAGGTTGGGCGAGTCTTTGCATGGAGGTCTAGAGCAGTGTTTCCCAACCTTTTTTGGGCAAAGGCACACTTGTTTCATGAAAAAAATCTCGAGGCACACCACCATTAGAAAATGTTAAAAAATTTAACTCTGTGCCTATATTGACTACCATATTTTTCGCCCCATAGGACGCACCGCCCCATAAGACGCACCTAATTTTTTGGGGGAGAATAAAGAAAAAAAAATTTTCCCCTCCCCAGGCATGGGGCAGGCGCGGGGGGAACCCAAGCTTCCCCCGACCCCAGCCCCCAGAACAGCCTGATATCCGCAAGCCTAGGGAGCCACACTGGTCTCCCCAGGCTTGCGGAGAGGTGCGTGAAGCCCGGGGGCGCTCTTCAGCGCTCACCAGGCTTCGGGATGCAGGCAGCTCTGCACTACCCTCCAGAGCCCCGTGCGGCTTCGCGCTGGGATCCGGGGGGTGGCGCGGAGCTGCAAGAAGCCCTGGAGCGCAGGCAGCTCCGTGCCACCCTCCGCAGCCCCGCGCGGCTTCGCACCAGGATCCGGGGGTGGCGCGGAGCTGCAAGAAGCCCTGGAGCGCGGGCAGCTCCGCGCCACCCTCCGCAGCCTCCTACGGAGGGCGCCCCGTGCTCCGCGCTGCTGGCTGCCGCCCGCAAGCGGGGGGGAGTTCCCCCAGGCGCCCAAGGCTTGCGGACAGCTGCGCGAAGCACGGGGCGTCCTCCAAAGGGCGCCCCGCGCTCCGCGCTGCAGGCTGCCGCCCGCAAGCCTTGCGCGCCGGGGGGGGAGTTCCCCCAGGCGCCCAAGGCTGCGCGAAGCACGGGGCGTCCTCCAAAGGGCGCCCCGCGCTCCGCGCTGCAGGCTGCCGCCCGCAAGCCTTGCGCGCCGGGGGGGAGTTCCCCCAGGCGCCCAAGGCTTGCGGACAGCTGCGCGAAGCACGGGGCGTCCTCCAAAGGGCGCCCCGCGCTCCGCGCTGCAGGTTCCCGCCCCCCGCCCCGCTTCGGAGCACCGGGAGAAGCGATCTCCCCGCAGCCCCTTGCTTCAAAAGAGGTCCGGGGGCAGCGCGAAGCGCTTCCCGCTGTCCCCGGACCTCTTTTGAAGCAAGGGGCGGTGGGGAGAAGCGATCTCGGGCGCCGCGCCGCCCCGCCTCTCCCGCCTCCCTCCCACGGCACACCAGGCAAGGTCTCACGGCACACTGGTGTGCCGCGGAACACCGGTTGGGAAACACTGGTCTAGAGACTGAGGTAATTAAGCACTACAGTTTCAATCAAATTTCTGACATTGCTGGGTAGATTTTCCTCTTTCCAAGCAGTAAGGCGTGTGTGTCTGTGGATGGCATTTCAAGAGTAGGGGTGGGAGGGATAGAGAAACTAGTAGGAGTCAGTGCTGAGACTGTTACGCTAAGATCAATTACCTGGAAGTAGAGATGGGGGAGAAATTTGATTTGCTTCAAATTTAAAGGCAAACCTACCAAATCCACACATTCTGAAACAATTTGCGAACTGAAACACTGCCTCCCTTTTGAAATTCACTAACTTTTGCAATCCGTTTCTCCATCTGAGTAACATGTAGAAAAGTGCATATTCTAGGGTACATGGTGGAAATAGCACGCAAAAACAACACACATAACTGCTTTGCAGAAATGTGTGTATGGTATTTGACAAAATTGCAAAACAAAAATTGTGTATATTAGGAGAAAATCGCATTAAAATGCTGGTGGATTCTCATGAAGACTTTAAGAAAATAATATTAATCGGCAAACTGGTGTGAAGTTCCGTGCAGAAGGGAATTTAAGATGGGTTAATTTCAGTTTCTCATTTTTCCAATTCACCCAGCCCTACTTGGGAGTAAGCTCTGTTAAATTCAGAGGGACTTAGTTCAAAATGATCATGTATCCAAACTGAGTTGGTGTCATAGAAGATGGGCTTGCAGACAACATGGCGCGGGCAGAGAAGGCTTATCCATGATTGGAGTGAATAGGGTACTCCCCTTCCAACCTCAGTCTGCCCTCTGCCAGCCCCCACCAGCCTGCCTTCAGCCCAGAGGGTGGTCCTGCCTGTCAGTTTCCTCCCCCTCCTCCTCCTCTTCCTCTGTCTCAGCATTGCCCTTTGCAGAACTGAGCAAGGGGACAAAACTGGAATGAGTTTGCTCTGCCTGTCTTTGACTTTGGCTCCAGGTGCTCTTGGACTCCTTGTCTTATGCCTTACCTGTCCCAAGGTGCACCATCTACCAATGCTCCAGGTAAGAGATCACCTTACCTGCTATATATTGCTGCAGACATCGGAGGAGGCACTTCTTAGATAGGAAGCTGCCTTATACAGAGTCAGACCATTGGTCAATCTAGTATTGTTTGTAGTAGTGACTGTCTGGGATTTCACACAGTGAGTTTTTCTGTGCCCTACCTGGAGATGCCAGGGATTGAACCTGGGACCTTCTGCATGCAAGGAAGATGCTCTACCACCGAGCTACGTGGTAGAAGATCTGCTCAGTGGTGACATGTAGCACGGCATGGAACTTCCTTCCAGTGGATATAATACAGGAGCCTTTAAGGGCCATACAAAATCCTTTGGGGATTTTGGTTGCTATGAAATACATTTTTATTTCACCTGGCCTCCCCAGAAGGATAATCCAAGCCTGGTCACTGTTAATTTTGGAGCACTGCAATGTTATTTTAATAGGTTTTTTGCTTGATTTTCTTAATATATTGCATTGTATTTATTTCTATCCTGTACATCACTTATTAGAGGTTCTTTTGAACATAAAGCCATTAAGAAATAATGCTGTGAACTGCCCTGAGATCTAGAGATGAAAGGCAGTATACAAATTTTATAAAGAAATAAAAGAAACAAAAATAAATATTCTAAGATAAAGAATGAAATCAAATAAATGCATTGCATCCTCCTGGCTAAAACATGCCTTCCCTGTGCTGTCTCATTCCAGCTATCACCCACAAAAGAGTCCATGGATGGGTTGAGATGGTGGCCTTGTGGCTCCCCATAGGCAGCGGCTTCCTCAACTGCTTTGTCTACTTCTGGACCAACAGGAGCTTCCGGCACAAGTTCCAGAAGATCGGGCATAAGCTGTGCTGGCCCTGCTATAAGGCCACAGAGGACCAACGGTGGCAGCGGCAGCAGCAACAGCAGCAGCAGCAGGAGCTCCCTACCGTCAGTGCGGCCGTGAGCAGCATAACCTCCCCCTAAGGCTCCTCCTGCAACATGAGTCTCCCAGCATTAGCTTTTCCGAGAAGGCCAAGCCAAACTGTAACAAACCAACACCCATCCAGGCTCTCCTTACTTAGTCTGGTTTGAGGAAACCTTGCTGCAGCATGAAGGCCATTCCTGGTGCTCATCTGCATGTATCTTTTGGGAGAGACATGGATGCCTAAGCAGTTGGAAGGGCAGTTCTGGAAACAGCCATGCCAGGAAGTGATTCAAGAGAGGAAACTCAGTGTCTTACTTGGCTGGGTTTCCACTTGGGGGTTATTTTTGTGACTGGCTGTGCTGAACTAGGCTCTAAGCTGAGGAGGCCAAGGAGCTGGGGACGAGTGCTGTGCCACACCACGCCCTGACGCGCCTGCTCCTACTTTTCAGAACTGCTTCGCCAAAACATTGAGTGGTTTGCCCCCGCCCCCCCAAAAAAGCACCAGGCAACTGCTGGGAAGTGGTGGTAGAGCAGCCGCAGGCAAAAGTTGTACAAGGGATGTAAAAGGAAAACAAGGGTCACTGGAACATCAAGTTGAGCAGAGAGCTGCCTCTCCCCCCCCCCCCATTTATATTTCTATCTCTGTTCTCTCTTTCTATTCCTCCTCTCTTCACCATTGCAAGCACTGCGGCAACCATTTTGTTCCCCCAGACCCCAGGAAAGGAGACTTGGTGGTGAGGAGAGAAACCCTTTTAAAATTAATAATAGTAATAAAATAAGAAAAATGGTAAGGGTCATGGTGGCTATTTTAATGCTCCTTTAGCAGCCAGACTCTGCCATCCGCTTGAATTTTAAGAGTAGGGTTTTAGCTAATGGTTTCCCTCCTCCAGTGTGCTGGGCTGTTGTTGACAGAAAAACACGCGTGGGAGACCCATCGTCATGTTCCGTAACAACCAAGGCTCATGAACCGAGGAAGAAATTGCCATGAAATGAAAACATCTGTGAAGTTGATCTGAGCTGACCTACCCTGTAGGGTCCCCCCCCCCCCCTGTTTTTGGCATGTTGAATTGGCCATGGGCCCCATACCAGACCTCATGGCATCTTGGAATCTCTTCATCTCAAGCAGAAGTGGAAAACCTTTGTCCCTCTGAACGCTGCTAAGCTTCAACTCCTCCAGCCCTGGAGAGCAGGGCCAGTGGGAGTCTGGAGGTCCAAAGGCTCTCCACTCCTCCTCTAAAGAGATGTACCAGGATGCAGTGGGTTAAAACAGAAACGTGCCAGCGCTTTCACAAGACTGCAAACCCCGCTGAAAAAGACCACCACTTGGATTCACCTCATCCCATAGGGGTGGAAAATGCTTGGGCAACTAGTTCCTTGTTCCCAGAAGCCATGATATAGCATGTAGCACTCCTGTGACTGTTCATGCTTTTACAGCAGAATTCGACCCTCCCTCCCTGTATCCTGTTGCTGCCCAGTCAGTTTTTACACAACCTTGTCTCTCCCTGCCCCACATCGCTCTCTTCTTCTTAACTATTTTATACACTAGTTTTTAAATGATTCAGAGTGAGAACAGAGAACTGAAGAGATCAACGTCTCTGAATGAAGAGATCAAGGTTTCTGATTCAATTGCCTCCTCTCCCCCCCCCCCTTAAGATCCTAGCAGTTACAGACATGCAGAAACACAAGCCACTGCATAGAGAGTGACTAATTCTCTTCCTTGGGAAACTTTTTCCCTCTCCTAGTAGGCATTTTTTATTTCTTTTTTTCCTTTTTTCGCAAAAAAAGGGGCTGGTGGCGGGTGGGGTATTGGGGCAAACTTATTACAGAATTTTTTTCTGCTGCAACAAAATTGGACTAAGATCTCAGGCAGGGCTTCTGTTCAGAAAACTAGCTGTGTTCACGATGGGATGCCAAGAGCCCTCTATTTGTTTTCCTCCTTTTTCACCTGCAATATTCCTACCCTCTCTCTATGTGTGTGTGTGTGGGGAGGTCACTCCCACTCTGTAGCTGTTGTGCAGCAGCGATTATGCGAAATAGCATGTTTGTATCTGATTTGCTTAAAATAGCCATATTGAGAGTATTATTGTTTTTTTATGTAAAGAAAAGAAAAACAGCATGAAATGATCCAAATCTACTTTGTAAACCCAAACCTCTCTCTAAAACTATCCCCCTCTGTTTTATTGTTTTCCAAGCCTTTTAAAAATCCTTTTGTGGCTTGGCGTTCTGTGTGTAAGTAACAATCCTTTCTCTCTCCACCCTCCCCCTTTCCTTTCTGATCTGTAAGTGTTGTGTTCCTTGGAGAAAAATTATTAAGTTATAATTTAAAATGATTGAATAAAAATAAAGATTTTTGAAATAACTTTTGGATTCTGCCTCCTGATTTTTATTTTCTGCTAGCACTGTCAAAGGCCCTTGGGTTGCTCCCTCTTCCCCCATGCCAGTAGTTTTGGGGATGGAGGGAGAATTGCCAGCATAATTTTCTGGCCCTGTTCCTCTGCCTTGACAAAAGCCTATTGTGCAGGATTTGACATGGTGAAGCTTTTCCTGACATGCGGGTGGGGGAGGAAATCTCAACTTCTGGATGGCAGCATGTCAGTGGGCTGTGGAAGGCAACAGAGCAGAGAAAATGCCATTGGCAATCTCCTCTGTGCTGCTGTTTTTCATTCCTTTCCATTATATTCTTCCCCTTTAGAATACAATATTGCCCAAGAACAATTTTGAGTGATGTTGCATTTGTAGGTGGGGTGTGGCTGTTGGAACACTCTGTAGAACTCAACTGAGCCTTTCGCTTCCTGGCCCCTAAGCAATAAAGTTCATTCAGTCTCCTGACACTATAGCTCATGTGAGGTCTTCTACAGCCTCATAAAAACTGTTAATGGATTTCTCTCCCTCACTCAACAACATTTCCAGGGTGGCAAATTATAAAATGTGGTGGCAGAAAATGCAAATACAATACAGGGAAAACCATTATAAAAATGACAGGGAGTTAATTCAGTGTGTCAGAATATAACTCACTCCTGTGTACATGGGGGCCCCACTTGGGTATCAGAGCACCACAGAACTATGTCTGGTCCATGTGTGAAAGAGAGAGAAATGGCCACCTTCCCCTAACCTGCTGCCCTCCAGAAGCTTTGGACTACAATTCCCATCAGCCTCAGGCAACAGCCATTCTGGATTTGTAGGTTTGGATGTTTAACGGATGTGCTGTTGCTGTTTGTCTTTATATATATATTTTTCAAGGTTGTTAGCAGTTTATTTATTTTTATTGTATTTTTATGTACTTTGTGGTGTGGGTGTAAAAAAAAAAAAGCAGCAAGGGATAAGTAATACAAAACTGATGAAGCACACTTTGCTACTTCTGTGAGTTCCAGCAATGTTTAGGATACACACAAGATGGTACTGATAAAATATTTTATTGAGTCCTGGGTACAGGCAGCTGACTACTTTAGAGACTGCTGAGCACTGGCCATCCTGGCTGGGACTGATAGGAACTGGAGTCCAACAGCATATGGGAGGGCCTGGATCAGGTTTCCCACCCCTGCCAGAGTGGTAAGCTGGTCATTTACTCCCCACAGAGCCTTCCCAACCACCCCCTGCTCATTGGCAGAAAATGTGGCTTCTCTGAAGAAGATCCCCATTTCAATCTCATCCATCTCTGGTTAAAGGACCTCAGGTAACAGGAATCTCAGGTAAAAGATCTTCATTGCTGGTGAGGGCCCTCCAGGTGTTTCAGACTACAACTCTTATCAACATCAATGGTCAACTTGGCTGATGTTGATTGGAGTTCTGGTCCAAAACATCTGGAGGGCACCAGGTTACAGAAGGTAGACACCAGGTTATGGAAGGTAGACAGCTTCTGTCAATGTGGGTGACGACCTTGACTCGGAGCTCGTTCACATTTCATCTGGCATAGGAAAGGTCCCTGCAGAGCCTTTGTCCGGTGGCTGCCCTTTTCTGGCAAGCTGGTCCCCATACACCCACCATTGGTGTGTAGGATTTGGTTCTTTGAACACAGTGGGAATCCCCAGCTGGCTATAATCCCTTGGCTCCTGGATCATGTTGCCATCAGTCCATGAAACACGGGCAGCAGTCTCCCATTTCCTGCTGGTACTTCTTGTTGAACATCTCAATCTGCAGTGGGGAAAAGTGGTTCTTCCAGTCTCCAACAATACCTAAGAAGAACACAAAGGCATTGTCTGGCTGGGTCAGAGCACAGCAGACCTCACCTTGTCCAGCAACATCTGGCCAGAGGCAGCAATCAGTGACTGAGGAGTGTGGGAAATGCGGATAGTGGATGCCTGTTTTATCTCGACAGGAATGGTGTTCTGCAGAACAGGGGCAGCCACACTAGCAGCCTTGCTCTGAGTTACTGCAGAGCAGGCTTCTGAGATGGAACATGCAGGAGAAACTCTGCCACAGACTACAGCAAACTAATACTGGGTTTGTTTTGAAGGAGCACAGAGCAGGGAGCAGCAGCTTTGCTGCAGAAGTTCCCACTCGCCCAGCCCTCCTTGTCTCCCCACCCACCTTTCCGCATGAACTGGCTCTTGCTTGGATCCATGATCTCATGAGGGACGAGTGTACCATTCACCATGGTGTTGTTTCTCATGGAAGCAAAACTACAATGCTTCTGGATGGAAGCCATCTGGCCTGGTTGCAAAGGGCAGTCAAGAAAGGCGCTCAGTCGCTCCACAGAGCCTTCCAGATCCTGGGGAAAGGGCAGGCAAGGAAATCCATTTCAGTTTCTCATTTTTCCCAATCTTCAGTTCTGTGCATTTCTGCATTAGTGTGAGATTTATTTTTTAAGAATGAAAATTCACCGGCATTTTAGCTGTGAATCCCAATACACACACGTTTCTATGCAATTTTGCCTAATACAAACATTTTTGCAAAGCGGCTTTCTCTTAATATAATGCATGTCATTTTCAGTAATGTAATCATTTTAATGTAAGCTTTACTCAGGTTGGTGCATTTTTGTGGGCCTTCCTTGTCTTGAGAACTGCGCTGCAAAATTCAGAGAAGTGCGGATTTCAAAAGATTGCTGCTTCAGTTTGCATATTGTTTCAGAACATGCAAACTGGATTGAATTTATCTCTTATCCCTACCCTGGGATCACAGAAGTGAGTAGAGGGAAGAAGCTGGACCTTACAGGCTACATCCAGCTGTTGAGAGACACATAAAACACTCAAGGCGCAGGCCTGGGACACTCATTTGCCCCTGGGCAAATCAAGGTGGGTAGGTGCCCAGGGTCTCACTGGCACTGAGCTTTGCAGCATGTCCAGCTACTTTGCAAAGTTGGGGTTTTTTTAAAAGCTAGAAAAAGGAACAAGGGAGCTTATACCTAGTTAGACCATTGGCCCACCTAGCTCAGTATTGTCTACACTTACTGGGAACAGCACCCAAGGGTTTCAGGCAAGGATCTCTCTCAACCCTACCTGGAGAGGCCAGGGATTGAACCAGGGGCCTTCTGCATGAAAGTAGGAGCTCTGCTGCTAAGCTATGGCAAAACAATACAGGGAATGTTGAAGCTGCATCAGAGCATTGGTCCATCTATCTCCCTGATACTGTCTATACATTGATTAAGGAAAGACTCTCCAGAGTTTCAGACGGGCCTTCCCCAGCCCCACCTGGAAATGCCACAGATTGAACCTGGAGCCTTCTGCATGCAAAGCAGGGTCTCTGCTGCTAATCTGCAGCTCTTCCTCAAGCATCACCATCCAACCTGTTCCCTGAGCTGCCTGCATGAACCTGTCACTCCAGGGCAATTGCTCACCCTCACCCTCCCAAAGCAAGACCTCCCACCTGCACTCCAAACCAAAGGCCCACAGACAAGGCTGCATCAACTTAACCACCCATATCATGTGTGGGGGGGGCTAGGGCATGGGTAGGCAAACTAAGGCCGGGGGGCTAGATCCGGCCCAATCACCTTCTAAATCCGGCCCGCGGACGGTCCAGGAATCAGCGTGTTTTTACATGAGTAGAATGTGTGCTTTTATTTAAAATGCATCTCTGGCTTATGTGTCGGGCATAGGAATTCATTCACCCACCCCCCAAATATAGTCCGGTCCCCAATAAGGTCTGAGGGACAGTGGACCGGCCCCCTGCTGCAAAAGTTTGCTGACCCCTGGGCTAGGGGAACTCACCTGGTGCAGTTCCTCGTAGGTGATGTAGAAAACATCCAACTCCTCCTTGCAGCTGAGCCAGCCTCTGGTGTGTTCAAACCAGGAGCCATAGTGCACTGTGTGGGACAGGACAGAAGAGATGGGTCAGAGGGGGAAAGCAGCGCCTTTGCCTTCAACATTGCATCAATCTTTCTCAGTCTGGCGCGACCTTCTGAGGGCCACATGGCAGCAGTGGCATGACCAGATGCAAAAGTGGTTGAGGCAATGACTGTAAATGTTACCTGTATACAGAGTAGGCTACTTTCAACACACAACGCTCTAACCTCCATCCACAAAAGCAAGTGGCATGATCAGAATTCAAGGACAGATTCCAGCCCAGCAAAAGCACTCTGGGACTGGTGCGGGGGTGTGTGTGACTGGGGAGAGTTCCAAGGGCCACATAGAGAGGCTCTGGGTCTGATGTTTTCCATCCCTGCAATAATGCCAGCCAGCCTGGAGGGCAGGGTCCATTCCACCCTCATGGCCTTTGCTGAGATTTCAGAATGTGGTTAATCCATCCATTGCCTCTGGCTCATTTAAGCAAAGGTAAATAGCAAAGTGTGCAATGTTGCTCTGAATCAACAAATCTCCCCTAGTAATGCAGGGAACAGGCTCCCCATCTAAAATAGGAAGAATCAAAACCAGTGATCTGGCACAGTCGGAGTTGCCACTTTAGAATAGAATAGAATAGAATAGAATAGAATAGAATAGAATAGAATAGAATAGAATAGAAAGTGTACTGTGCCTTTAACATTAGTGGTATGACAGGCAGAAGTTCCATAGGTGCAAGGATCCTTCCCATTCTCTTTCAAAGCAAGCTGTCTCAACTGGATTTCTGATTAAATGAAGGCGGTCTCAATAACTACCAGTTCAAGCAAGTTAGAAGCTGGGTTTATTTGGGGGTTCTGCTTTTCAGAACTGCCACTTTGCAATGACTAAAATCACACAGCTCCAAGGCTTTGCAAACTGCAGTGAACTTTGCTAGGATCAAAAGGGAAACCTGACCTCTGCTGTCCTGTGGGTGTTTGCTAGAAAAGTGTTTCATAAGCTCATATTAAAAGGGCAGAAGTTCGGGAAGGTATCCAAGCTAACACAGCTGGAAATTTAAGAAGCTACATTCCCTTAGAGTGACCCTCCTGGAATCTCAGTACAAACCTCAGAGGGCAGAAATCAAACAGCTGCTTATTATGGTTTCATATTTGTGTAAGAATTTCAATTACTATTTTAAATTGTTTTAAAATGGAGGCCAGACTGCCCCAAAATGTTTTGTTTTTATTTATTTATTTTTCAAAAAACAAACAAACTGGATTTCAAAGAGAAAAAGAGACTACTGGTAGCACTAGGGATCCCAGATTGTAGTAATAATATGACACTTCTAGTGGTACTAGAGATTCCAAATAGAAGCAGTAAGTTGCAGTACTACTAAGATTGTACTGGTAGCACTATAGATCCCAGAGTAAAATCAAAATGCGAGCAAATGTAAGGTTTACAAACAGGCACTATAGCACACAGGGAGAGAAGTTATATGTTCTTTTACTGTGTTATTGTGACCTTAAATCTCAGCTTTTATGAGTTTCCTCATGGCTTTTTAGCAGCAATGATGACACTGTAGGGAACTGAATTTCTGTTGCTGCAGGTAGCATCGTTATGGGCCCAGCCCTCAGTGCTGCTGGGTATTTAAATGACTCCAGGGCACAGGCCCACAGTGCAAATTTGCATAAAATTTGTATATGCTAATTTAAAGGTACAATTTCAAAATCAGGCCAGATTCCAGAGGTGGGAAATACAAACTCTGCCTTTTGCTTACTCTGAGGAATGGGATGCCAACAGGTTTTCCAGGGCCCAGTACACTTAAGGTGACTGGGGTCTCCATGACACTCTGTGTCTTGCAGCGCACCCAGCTGCCATAGGAAACACCCTGGGCACAGTGTTGCTGCCAAGAGAAATGAGCCAGCAACTAGCTTAGAGAACAGATGAGCAAGATGTGAAGTTTATAAAATTATGCACAGCACAGAGAAAGTGGATAGAGAAAATGTTTCCCCCCCTCTTTCTCAATGCTAGAAATCATGGATGTCAAATGAAGCTGAATGTTTGGAGATTCAGGACAGATAAAAGAAAGGACTTCTTCACGCAGCGCATTAAACTATGGATCTCGCTCTCAAAGCGGGCAGTGGTGGATGGCTTTGAAAGAGGACTGGACACATTCATAGAGAATGAGGCTCTCCACAGTCAGAGGCAGTAATGCTTCTGAATATCAGTTGATGGAAAGCACGCAGGAAGGGAGAGGGCTCTTGTGCTCAGGCCCCTGGAAGGTTACCCAAGGGAATGTGCCCCTCAGACAGAAAAAGGTTCCCCACCCCTGGGTTACACTCTCCAGGGTTTCAGACATGTGTCTCTTCTGGAGATGCTGTGAATTGAACCCAGGACCTTTCACCACTGAACTTTGGCCCTTCCTCTATTAGGTAGAAGTATCTGTACCATCTCAAAACTACATATTCCCAGGTGGCTCTGGGGTGTGTGTGTGACTGAAGCCATGATAGTTAAGACATTGTTAGGCAGGCAGCCCAAATGTGGCGCAGAGATGCCCCACCTGACTCACACACCTGCGCCATCCAAGAAGTTGAGGAGGAACTCATCAAAGGTGCCAGGGTCAGGGAAGAATTTGGCCATCCTGCAGAAGTGATAGAAGGACACAGCAACATCTTTGGGGTTTCTGGTCAGGTGGATCACCTGCTGGAGCAAAAGAAGAGGCAGAGGGCACACGCCATGTAGGTCAACACGACGCAGCCCAGGTGGAAAGGACGAAAAGCGCCCCTCCATTTTCCTTCCCCTCCATAACAAGAGCCCTTCTGGAAGCAACCGACCAGCCCCACAATGGCCACCTCAGTGCCTCTGTGAAGCCCACAAACAAGACCCTCCTGCTGCGGTTGTTCCCAAGGAACTGGTGCCCAGAGGCATACAATATCTGAATCTAGAGACTGCATAGAGCCCTCATGACTAATAGTAGCCATGGATAGCCTTATCCTCCCTGAAGTTGTCTAACTCCAAATTTTAAAGCCATCTAAGGGTGCATACAAACCATAACATTTAAAGCACATTTCCAGGAAAAACTGTAGCTTACCCTGCATAGAATTAAAATTCCCAGCACCCTTAACAAACTACAGCTCCCAGGACTATTCGGAGGAAGTGTCCTTTAAACGTATGGTGAACATGCAACCTAAGCAGGCAAGGCTCTTGCTATATTCTTATTCCCCACCCCTTTTACAAAATTCAATGAAATTTGTAAAAAATAAAATAAAATACAAAACATAAAGTGTTGTCTTCCAGGACAAATACATGTATGCATGTTAAGTCTTGTATGCAGTCATCCACATGGCATCAAAACAGACTTGGAAAATGTTTTACATTACAGATTAAACTCACATCCACAGGGTAGTCTTCAATCTAAAGGGTTAAGATAATTTCTCCATAGTGGCTGCTGTGACTGAGACAGAAGGAATTCCACTGTACTGTTGTTAATAAACGACATGAATCGAGACCATACAGAGTCAAATCCATCTTTCTTCTTATCTTTTTGAGAGAGCTGCTGGTTGCCAATAAGTTTCCTTAAGTTAAAATGCCTGGTGGGAAATCGTGGAGAGCTGCTGGCAGTCAAGTCTTGATGACTAGGAGTGGGGAACCCCTTTTGGCCTCAAGGGTCGCATTCCCTTCTGGGGAGACTTCTGGGGGCCACATGCCAGTGGTGGGCGTGGCAAGAAGCAAAAGTGGGTGGGGCAAAGGGATGTAAGTTTTACCTCTGAACAGTAGCATAATTTCCACACACATTCACGCGCCCATCTCTTTTCTCTATCCAGCCAAGCAAGAGTTCAAGGATATATTCCTGATGAGCAAAAACACCCAACGAGGGTGTGCAGCAGGGCCAGTGAGGGGGCATGGCTTAGGGAGAGCTGGTGTGCTGCGGGGAGGGGCCCAGGGGCCCGTTAGAGAGGCCTGAGCTTCCCCATGCCTGATGTAGCCAACACTGAGCCTTGAAAAAGGAAGCTGCTTATGTTCCAACAGAAGGGAATGGCCAAGGGGCTCAGGAGGAAACAGCCATGAAGGCTGCTGCTGCCACCCCCGGACATCTGCCGCCTGAGACGGTTACCTAATGGTAGGGCCAGCCCTGTCCTGATGCCATGAGAAATATGGCCAAGTATGGGATCTCCTTGCACATACCTTGGGCTTAGCTTTCCTCAGAGAAGCTGATAACACACGGTAGGGCAAATGGGTGGTGAGGAGGCGAGGTCCTTCTGTCTCCCGGAGAATCTTTGAGAAGTAAGTGTGCTCCAGCCATGGGTTCCGGGTCCAGTTGGGGATGTTCTTGGCAGGCTGAGGGTCTCCTTTGCTGTAGATTAAGGTCAGGATCTCCTGCATCCAGGTGGTGCCTAGAGGGGAGGACAAGAACATCAGCAGGGGAAGGCCTCTGACCTCCAACCACTGCATGACCTCCAGGGACAACCTCATTAATGGCAGGCTTGTTAAATATAAGGACTGCAATTGTTTTTGTTGCAAGGAAGAAGGCTTCTTCATATAGGGTTACAGACTACCGAAGGCAGTCTTTGGTCCACCTTTGGTCACATCCACACTATACATGTGAAGTACATTTAAAGCAAATGAGTTCCACCAAAGGATCCTGGGACCTGTAGTTTCACCCCTCACAGAATAACAGTTCCCAGCACCCTTAAAAACTGCATTTCCCAATATTATTGGGAGGAAGCTGTGCCCTTTAAATGTGCTTTAAATGTATTGTATGGATGAGATAAACTGTGAATGTGCACACCCCACACATTTAAAGCACATGACTTTCACCAAAGGATCCTGGGACCTGTAGTTTGTTAAGGGTGCTGGAAATTGTAGCTCTGCGGGGGTAAATTATAGTTCCAGAATTCTTTAGAGGGAAGATCTTGTGCTTTAAATGTCTTGACCTAAAATACCTAACAGGAAGGCTTCTGGTTGTTTAAAAAGTTATCACACTATCTAAGGATGGGTGAGACATTTGGTTTGGTTTGCATTTTACCACAAACTTTTCTAATCTGCAAATCTCCAACAGCATGCAAATGAAAACAGAGGTATCTTTTGAAATCCGTCCTTTTCTCAATTTTGCAGTGCAGTTTTCTAAGCAAATAAAGTGTACAGTTAAAAATGCTGAGCCTTATGTGGCTCATGTCCACAATAACCTCCTCTCCCCACAAGAACTTACCTGGACCCTACTATCGTTATCTGAGGCCCTTCTTTGTGTGCCCCCATCACAGGAGGCTTGGAGGGTGACAACACACAAACAGGCCTTTTCAGTGGAGGGCTCCTGTTTGTGGAATGCTCTCCCCAGAGAGGTACACCTGGTGCCATCTTCATACTGTTTTAGGCACTGGATAAAGACTTTTATTTTTCCCCCCCCTGGATTTTTGCCCTCTGATTTGAAGGATACCATGGCCTCTTTTCGTGGGGTAGGGCTTGTAGTCCTGCCTTTTTTTGTGTGTTTTTAGTCTTTTATTTGAATTGTGTTTTTAGGTTTTTATTGTTGTTTTTAATTGGTTTTAATGTAGGTTGCTTTGAGTTACTTGGTAAGAGTACAATAAACAATAACACAAAACTGTGCAAATAAGTGAAAGTGTGCCTAAAACTCCATATACTAATGAGAATAATATAGAAAGATGCCTATTAGGGGGAAATTTCTTTGCAAAAGCCTTCATGTAAAGCAAAATTGCATACATATGTTAGGAGAAATGTACACTAAGTACACATTTGCCCCACACATTTAAAACAGAATCATGCCACTTTAAACAGTCATGGCTTCCCCCCAAAAGTCCTGTTTCATTAAGTTTCTTAAGGGTGCTAAAAGTCGCTAGGAGGCAATTCTCCCAATTGTTCACCTCACAGAACTACAATTCCCAGAGTTCCCTGTGAAGAGGGATTGGTTGTTAAACCACTCTGGGAATTGTAGCTCTGGAAGAGGAAGAGGAGTCCTTTAACAGAAGGGCCCAGATTCAATCCCCAGCATCTCCAGGTATGGCTGGGGCAGAACCTTCACTGAAATCCTGGAGGGCCGCAGCCAGTCACAGAAGACAACACTGGACTAGATAGACCAAGCTCTGACAGTGTAAGACAGCTTCCTATGAAGCTAAGAGATATTTGTGGCTCAGGGGTACAGCATCTGCTTTGCATGCAGCCTGTCTTAGCTTCAGTCCTGAGCATTTCCAGATAGACCTGGGAGAGAGAGGCCCCTGCCCAGTGGTGTAGCGTGGGGGGTGCAGGGGGGCCGGCCGCACCGGGCGCAACATCTGGGGTTAGGGCAAATCCACAGGTTAGGGGGCGCAAATCCACGGGTTAGGGGGTGCAAATTACTTGCCTTGCCCCGGGTGCTGACAACCCACGCTACGCCACTGCCCCTGCCTGAAACCCTGGAAGGCCCCCATCAGCTCAGTAGACCAGTGGTCTGACCAAGGCTGTATACACACACTCATTTACCCGCAATCCATATCTAGCCTGTACCTAACCTGTTGTTTCTTGCAAAACACCCCATTCTGATGTGTCGTCCCCTAAATAAACCCTACCGTATTTACTCAGGTCTAATGCGCCATGGAATCTAATGCACCCCTCGATTTTTGCAACGTAATAAAGGTGAGCATTAGATTCAAGTAAATATGGAAATTAAAATAAAAAGGAAGAAGAAGGGTGACCTAGCTATGTTTCAAACTAGCCATTTGTACACAGAATAAAGCAACTCCCTAAGTTCCTGTTTCAGCCCAATGCTTTTGCTGCAGACAGAAAGGAGGGCAGGAGGTCCGTGATCCTCTGAGGGGCTTTTCCCTCCACTGCCCTGCCTCACACAGCCCTTACCTGATTTGGGGTAGGTAACCAGGAGAACATCAGAGCTGCAGAACTGGAAAGTGCTGGCAAAGTTCAGGGACGCCTGGGTGTGGAGATGGCCAGGCAGGCTGAGGCCGGCAAAGGTCTCCGTTACATCCAGCCTGTACATATTTGCTGGGTTGCAGCAGTGTGTGGGGAGAAAAGCAGCAGCAGGCGCGGAAAGGAGAGCTCCCTTCTTCCTCCCCGCCCCAGACTCCGGGCTGGGGGGCGGAGCGAGGGCTTCAGAGAGGCTGCTTCTGTTTAAGACTCTTAACTTAAGTTACCAAAAAAAGAAGAAGAAAAGAAGAAGCCAGCGTTCTAGTTTGTGTGTGTGTGTGAATGACATTCGTTGTGAATGTAATTGTGCAGCTAAACAGCTTGCAAGCCTTGCTGTAGTCTGTTTCATGAGAGAGAGGATGATGGCAATAAATCTGCTAGACTTTAAAGAAGCAGCAAGACTCTTTTGTTGCTTAGGTAGCTGGGTGCCCCTGAAATAAGCGCAGAAACCAGAGGCGTCCTCCTTGTGCCTCTCTCTGCAAATTAATTTTGCAATGTGCTCAACCCGCTCTTTGGTACAGCGAAGCTCGTGGGGCGACATGATGCCTGCAAATACAGTGGTACCTCGGGTTACATATGCTTCAGGTTACATACGCTTCAGATTACACACTCCACTAAGCCAGAAATAGTGCTTCAGGTTAAGAACTTTGCTTCAGGATAAGAACAGAAATCGGGCCCCGGCAGCGCGGCGGCAGCAGGAAGCCCCATTAGCTAAAGTGGTGCTTCAGGTTAAGAACAGTTTCAGGTTAAGTACAGACCTCCAGAGCGAATTAAGTACTTAACCCGAGGTACCACTGTAATGCAATAATTTTGCATCACAGAAATCACAGAACCCGAAAGGCCCTCAAAGATCACCTGGTCCAAACCCATCAGTGCGGGAAATCCAGTTCAATTGCTACCCCTGGCATATGGTTATCCAGCCTTTGTTGGCGCATCCTGTAAAGCTCTCCATACCTCTCCCAGCGATCAGAAGTCCCAGAAGAGTTTTGCTTCCTTTGGATGAAACAGAAGAAGATATTTAGGGGGTGCCTCCAAATGATATTTTTGTTCAGGGTTCATTGTGATTTACTTGTGCAAAGCTTACTCAGTGGTTAGACCACAGTCCCCTCCAAACAGGTGGGTTTTTGCAGGTGTATTCCTGCAACATGCTGTTGATTCAACAGTGGTACATTATGATGGATGTATAGTTGAAGATCAACACGCCACTCTTTTTTTAAAAAACTAATTTTTATTAAAGATTTACAAAAAGTATGTGCATTGTCTTTTTCAGGTTGTAAAGTCTTTTCTACAGATCAGTTACATTTGATAGGAGTCGCAGTCAAAACATCATTCTGCTTTATTAGTTGTACTGTAATGCTTCCCCAGCGTTGATGCATCCTTGACATCTGGAGGAGCACTCTTGCACTATAGTTTAACAAAAGCAGGACAACAACAACAACCCAGCAGGAAAGGCAATGATTGCCCTTTTGGAAAGGGCTGCACCTCCATGGTAAAGCATTGCTTGGCATACAGATGGACCAATGCTCTGACTCAGTATAGGAAGACTGACCTCCCTATGTTTCTTGAGGAAGGGCGTAGCTGAGCGCTAGAGAGAACACCTGCCTTGCATCCAGAAAGTCCACTTTTCCTTCCTTGGTATATCCAGGTAGGGTGTAATAAGACCCCTTGCCTGAAACCCTTCAGAACTGCCAGCCGTCTATGTTAACAGATCTGAGCTAGATGCCTCACTATCAGGCAGCATTCTGTGTTTCTATGTGTGTCCCTTCTGAAACCGAAGCGTGTGTATTTGTTTGCTTGATTCCTTCTTTATACTTTTATTTTTTTTATTTTACTATTAAAATTTGTATACAGCCCTTCACCCGAAGATCCTCAGGCAGTTCACATCATAAAAATGCAGAATAAAGCCACATAGCACATAATAAAAGCAAAAACAAAGACCCTGTTTCCACAAACAAAGGACATAATCAGCCAAAGGACTGGTTGAAGAGGAAAGCTTTTCCCCGGCACTTAAAGATGCAAAGGGACGCGGGTGGCGCTGTGGGTTAAAGCCTCAGCGCCTAGGACTTGCCGATCGAAAGGTCGGCGGTTCGAATCCCCGCGGCGGGGTGCACTCCCGTTGCTCGGTCCCAGCGCCTGCCAACCTAGCAGTTCGAAAGCACCCCCGGGTGCAAGTAGATAAATAGGGACCGCTTACTAGCGGGAAGGTAAACGGCGTTCCGTGTGCTGCGCTGGCTCGCCAGATGCAGCTTTGTCACGCTGGCCACGTGACCCAGAAGTGTCTGCGGACAGCGCTGGCCCCCAGCCTATAGAGTCTGTCAAGACTGGCCCGTACGGGCAGGGGTACCTTTACCTTTATCTTAAAGATGTATAATGAAGATGCCAGGTGAACCTCCCTGGGGAGAGCATTCCACAAATGGGGAGCCACTGCAGAAAAGGCCCTTTCCTGAGTTGCCACCCTCCGGACCTCTCATGGAGGGGGCACATGAAGAAAGGCCTCAGATGATAAATGCAGAATCTGGGTTGGTTCTTATAGGGAGAGGCAGTCCTTGAGGTATCATGGTCCTGAGCCATTTAAGGCTTTATAGGTCCAAACCAGCACTTGGAATTGGACCCAGAAGCAGTCAGGACAGGATCTGTGTAATATGCTCAGACCATCTTGCCCCAGTGAGCAACTTTCAATCCCGGTGCCTTGATCTATTTCCATGAAAATGACATTGTTGGATTGGGTATTTAACTGCCAAGTGTTGTGCAAACATGCACACAAACACATAATTTGCATTATATGCTGTACCACAGAGTTTGCATGATTGACTGCTATATATCAAATTCCTTGGGTGGGGGGAGCTTGTAAAAAGTCCAAGTCCAAGTAAGGGCCAAAAGTATATAATACATTTAAAAGCAAACAAGCAAAACTGCTGCACGTAGCACTTCACCTATGCACACCCACACACCCCTGGTCTGTTTCCCCTCAATGTGAAATTGAAGACCACAAGAGAGTCGTGAACTCCATTTTCAAAAGGAACAGTTTGCAAAGTGTGCACAAATTTAAGGCTTGTGGTTGTAGAAATGCAGGTCAGAGAAGCGGAAGTGGAGGTGGAGGCAATTCTGATAATTATGCCCACAATCTACAAGAAAAAGCCACATCATAATTTAAAGGCTTGAAGTGGCCTTTCTGTTGCTTGCTGCCTTTTTCACTGATATAGTGATGCTATGAGAATGGGGGGAAATAGTCAACTTGTCATATTACTAGCTTCACACAATCTCACCCAGAATCAGTCTGGGTTCAGGCCTGACTATGAATCTGAATCACCTTCTCCATTTATTGGGAGAAAGACAGGGAGAGTTCTTTCTCAGTCTCTCAGCAGCTTTTGATACCATGGACCATGGCATCTGTCTGCGCCAACTTAATGAGATAGGTATGGTAAACACGGTTTGACAGCAGTTCCCACCTTATCTAGAAGGTGGGTTTCAGAACTTCCTCCCATCAAGGCAGATCTATACTATGGAAGGGAGCGGGTGGCGCTGAGTTCTAAATCACTGAGCCTCTTGGGCCTGCTGATCAGAAGCTCGGCGGTTCAAATCCACGCTCTGGTGGTGAGCTCTTATTGCTCGGTCCCAGCTTCTGCCAACCTAGCAGTTTGAAAGCATATCAGTGTGAGTAGATAAATAGGCACCGCTGTGGCAGGAAGGTAAACAGTGTTTCTGTGCTCTCTGGCACTCGTCATGGTGTCACATTGTGCCAGTAGTGGTTTAGTCATGCTGGCCACATGACCTGGAAAGCTGTCTGTGGACAAACGCCAGCTCCCTCGGCCTGAAACGAGATGAGCGCCATATCCCATAGTCGCCTTTGACTGGATTTAACTGTCCAGGGGTCCTTTCCTTTCCTTTTACTTACTATGGAAGTAATGAAACTTAATCTTCAGGGCCCCTAAACCCAGAGGGACCTCAGAAACTAACTAAGTCCACATTGCTTTAAAAAAAGGAATTTAGTAGACCCAATTTGAGTCACATGGCTCAAATTGATTAATTTTTGTTATATATCTTTCAACAATCCCAAAGTTTGAGAGTCAGTAGCCCAGATGTTGTAAAGGTTGTTTTAAACAACTCAATTGAAGAGGCTAACAGTAGTTACACAGACTTCGTTCCTGGTTGCAAAGGAGCCCCCATAACAGTTCCAGCTTCAAGGTCCCCAAATGTAGGCCCACTGCTGCCTCCCATTAAATATTTGTCTGTTGCCTTTTCGACTCCCGCAGAAGATCTTCCTTTTTCAGCAAGCTTTTTGAGCAGAGTTCTTTCCCAGTCCGTGGCTGTAATATAATTGTTTTTAGATGGTTGCAGAAGTTCCAGTTGTTTTATTGTGGCATCTGAATATAGACTGCATTTTTAATCAAGACTTATATTGGCTTATATCTTGATCAGGTTCCTAAATTAAATGGGCTTAGATTTTCAAATGTTTCATGCCAGGCAGAGAAAACCTTGGCCATTCTCCTAAGACAAGGGGCCCCCCCTTGATTTATAGCAGAAAACAATTCTCAAAGTCGTAAAAGCTGGAATTACAGACTAAGAGCAGGACATTGACCCTACATGTTACAGAAGATAAAAAAGCAGAGATAAACATAATTAGGAATGGGCAAATAGTAAAATGATACCATGGGCCTCTCTTAAACCTTGAGCTGTATTTTCTAAGGCCAGAGGCAAATGGGAAAAAAAACATCTAGCTGACAGAAAAAGAGAGCATTTTTAGGAAATCTTCTAAAAGCTGTTTCTTTCTTAAACTGAGAGAGTTAAAAAGGGCAATAAATGTTGGGAAAGGCAACTGGCTTGGCTGGGGAAGAAGAAGCTTCTTCCTATTTTATTTTGAGGCTGGAAAGGAGGGTGAAAGGGGGAGGTGTAAACTAAAGAGGCTTCTTTAAAAACTGTTTTTTACTGAGTTCCTTCCTTTCTACTTTGAGAAGCTTTATTCTTTTAAAAGGTTACCTATGATAATGTATGAAATATATTAGCTTAAATATATTGGCTTAAATGTAATTATGCAAAGGATTTAAGAAATGCTAGATTCTTATTTCATATAGTTGTAAGAGTTATCCTGAAATTAAGTCAGCCACCAGCCTAGCCCCCCTGCCAGACAAGAAGACGCCATCCAAGCAGTCCTGATATATAGCTGTCAGACATTTGTTTAGAAACCTTCAAATGAAGGAGATCTTTCAAT